TTTTTTTTTTTTCTCAATTTATGCAATTATGTGAATTCTTTTTTGAAGATGCATACTATATCAATGCATTACAACCACTTAGTTGAATTAATTGAGATTTTTTTTTTAAGATTTAGGTCCCCTGAGATTGAGAACAATGAAAAAACTTTGAATTGATTCATTTTGATACTTTACTTATACAGAGGTTCATGTAATTGGCGAATGATTTTTGGCAGATGCTCGAGCTTCTTGCCGAGGTTGCTGTTTTGGAAGAAGAAATCGTTCGGCTTGAAGAAAAAGTCGTGCATTTTAGGCAAGGACTTTATCAGGAAGCTATATACATTTCGTCATCCATGAAGAACATTGTTGTTTCGGCTGCTCTTTCTGACCTTGGTTCGACTGGAGATCTGAAACCAAAGCAATTCAAATTATTGGGTCATGTGGGAGCAAATTCTTCTGCAGTTATGGTGAAGAATTCACCTTCTCCTTCTGGTAAAAAACTCAACTAACAGAGAGTTCACTATTTGTTTCAAATTAGTAAATGCATGAAATTATGGTTTAAATTCTGTCTATTTAATGTAATTTAGATGAGAACCAGGGAAAGGAGAACTGTTTTGGTACAAATTCCTTAAAAACGAAGCAGAAATTACCCAATTCGAAAATACGAGCAGTTAAAACTCCAGCCAGAAAGCTTTCCGTTGAATCCAGATCAGTTGATAGGCGTTTAGATCCTAAGAAGTTACAGGTGCACATTTATTACCTTTTTAAAAAATAAATATATAAATAAAATCCATCAGCACTCTGATATAGTTAATTTGTTTGATGAATTCCGGGTTTTATCTGCATTTTGTTTTTCAGCTGGAGAACTGTGTAAAAGAGGAGCATGAGGGTTCCAAAATGATACCATCTGTCTGTGACAGTCCAAACATGATATCCGAAAACATTTTAAAATGCTTGATGAACATTTTCTTGAGAATGTGCGCAATAAGGAGTAGGAGTACCACAGAAACTTTTCCTTCACTTTCGACGCTGAGTTTTTCAGAAAAGTTGGCAGAGTCTAAGGATCCTTATCGCATTTGCTCGAGGTTTGGGAAGAGAGACATTGGTCCATATGTGCAATTATATGAAGTTGAAGCTACCTTAATCAACCCGAATCAAACGACAGTATCTATATTCCTAGTTCAAAGATTAAAGTAGGTCTTATATGGCCAACCTAAAATTTTAGCTCCATGTAGCAAACTTTTTTTTAATAATGGCATTGCTGATTATATATCACCTTTTTCAGGCTTCTCTTTGAGAAACTTGCTTCCGTTGAGCTGAAGGGCCTCACCCATCAAGAAAAGCTTGCTTTTTGGATAAACATCTACAATTCTTGCATGATGAATGTAAGTGGGACTCATCCTTGTATTTTATATTGGGTCACGATTAATATGGTCTGTCTTCTTTAAACTCTCAGTGATGAATGTTTTCTTATTTCAACCATATTAAAATGGTTTTCTGTTATCGTCTTCTGATTGTCCTTTATTTTATTTATATATACTATAATATAAATACACCTACTTCGAAAACTGATTGAACAAAGACATTTATTTCAGGCATTTATTGAGTATGGCATTCCAGAGAGCCCTGAAGTTGTTGTAGCACTAATGCAAAAGGTAATTTTTGTTTTTTCTTTTTATCTTTTCCTTTAACCACTTAATTTTCCGTTTTTGAGGGAATGGTTTTCTAGAATTAAAAATTAATCTTTACGATGTTTTTTGCTTCTGAGCTGACGAAAAAATGAGTCATTGTTTCTCAGGCAACGGTGAATGTTGGTGGACACATTCTAAGTGCAATAACAATTGAGCATTTCATATTAAGATTGCCTTATCACTCGAACTACGTAAGACAACTTGTAAAGTGACAATCTTTCAGTCACCTTTGCTCTTTACAATTTTAACTTAGTTGATCTTCTCAGACTTTCATTAAAGGTGCAAAATACGATGAGATGACAACAAGAAACATGTTTGGCTTGGAATTATCTGAACCCTTGGTAACGTTTGCACTTTCTTGTGGAAGCTGGTCTTCCCCTGCTGTAAGTAATTTTTCATAGTCAGAGCAGATACAACTGATTCCAATAAATAATTATGATATTCCTTAATCGATCAACAGTTTGGATTATTTGAAAAACTACTGCAGAGTTTAACCGTATCAGAAAAGTTCAATTTATAACTTTTGAACATTATATTTACCCCTTGAGGTATTAAAATACCCTTGTTTTAAGAATATTTGTGTTTTTAATTATTCCCTAGTGACAAATAAAAGATGGTATCTCCTATTTTTGGGGAAGCAAGCAATTTTGAAATTGGGGTTTTCCGTACTTCTATGTAACCTCAAGAGAGCATTTATACAATTCACCATCGATGTTCTTGCGAGAAATTTAGTTATTTTGTCAAAATTTCCAATTGAAGGTGCGGGTGTACACTGCTTCTCAAGTTGAAAACCAGCTGGAAACAGCTAAAAGAGAGTATTTACAAGCAGCCATTGGAATTTCAACAACCCGAAAGCTTTTGGCCTTACCCAAGTTGTTGGATTGGTATCTTCTCGACTTTGCCAAGGATATAGAGTCGTTATTGGACTGGGTTTGCCTCCAATTGCCACACGAACTTGGAAATGAAGCAATGAAATGCATAGAGAGGAAGAAACACGAGCCTCTGGTGCGCTACTTTCAGATAATGCCGTATGAATTTAGCTTCCGATACCTTTTGCATACATGAATAACACAAGATTTGCTTCAGCTATTGTCTTCGTGAAATTTTGGCAGGTTTTATTTAAGTTTAGTTTGTGTACAGATGTAGAGAAAAAGAACATGTCCATTTGTGTGTGTGCGTGTGTGTGTGTAGGTTGCAAGTTGTTGCTCTTGCTTGGTAGGTTTCTTGGGGTTTTGATTGATGTAAAAAAACCATTTCGGGAAATGCTTGTACAAGATGGACATGATTTACATTCCTATGTAGAAGGTAAAATAAAGATAAAATAAAATTGATGTTTTATTTATGAGTTTGCAGGTACCTTTTTTTTTTTTTTTTTCTTCCTCGGAACGATAATTATTATTAATAACAAAAAATTCAAAAGAGTACAATAGGAGTATCCACGAATACAAAGGAGTGAGAAAATTTGGATCTACTCCTTTAGAAGCACACGTGTTAAAAAGGTGTAAATTCCAACGAGGAGCCTACATACACACAAAAACCCAACTCATAAACGAGAGAGAGAAGAATTTCATAAAGGAGATTAAATGTCAGACGAGTTGGACTTAATGAATGAAAAGCAATAAAAAGGAAAAAAAAATGACATATACATAATAGACAACAAGATAGATAAAACCTCCACTAAACCTAACATCTAAAAGCCAAAACCACTTGTACCGTATACCCAGTCACACCAACAACAAAGAAAACTAACCGAACAACAAAATAAAGCTCCAACCCGAAAGTGGCAGTCAATCTACTGCCTAGGCAAATTTTCGGCCCAAATTTGAGACCCGAAGGCCTTCATCGCCAGGGAAAGGAAGAGAGTCATCACTAACCCACCGGAGGACTCAAGAGTCAAGACGAGAGATGGAGGAGACGACAACCTGCAACCGAGCTGTCTGTCCCGAAGACCTACAACCCGGCGGAACAGGGGCGCACGGGACCGCGGGTTGGGCTCACCCAGACCCAAGTTGATCTCCAGGAAGAACATGGTCATACAGATCGAGCCTCCAAATGGACCGACAAACTCCTGCTATGAGGCCTTGCAACAGCAGTCGGCAACCTCACCAGAGACGGGGGATAAATCGGAGAGAGGGTGGGGGGAAGAATCGCTGCCAGCAAACCACCCGCAGCACTCCCGAAGACGGAAAGAAAGCACCCAGCCACGACTCGGTCGAAATCGGCCCAGTGAACACAGGAAGTGCGCCGCCGAAAGAGGGGTGGCATTGAGATCGGATTTTATATCGTGGGGCGAGGTTTTTTTTTCGAATCTATATATATATAATTACTAGCTGATGCATTTAATAAGACATTTAATAAAATCTATTTTTATTTCCCTCCAAAAGGAGTTACATTGTTTTAATTAATTACTCACTAATCTACTAAAACCGTTACAACTTACTATATATATTTTTATTATTTATTTTTTGGATCAGTTACTAAATGAATTCTAAATTTGGTAGCATAAAATTCAAATGTGTAACGGCTCATGTTGGAACTTAAAGTTGATTGGCACATTCAGAGTTGTAACCGCTATACTTGGTTGCATTGTTGGAAGAATAATATGATTGACACATATTTTTTTTTCTAAAAATCAGAAACACCAATAATCTTTTTTATGTATGTTAATTTTCTTAATATATGCCACAAATATATAAATTTTTTATTCATGTTACTAATGTAAACGTTGCATGGTTAAAATAAAATTGAAATGTCAATTAATTTTGAATGATAAAAATAACTTAAGAAAAAGTATTAATTTTTATATGATTGAAGTACATGTCTAATTAATAAATACAAACAAAAACGTGTTTTATATCTGTGCAAATGCACAGGATTAAATACTAGTAGAGATAAGAAGTTACTAAAGTAAGAAAATGAAAATGGTGTTGATGACACAATTGTAGTGTTCATTTTTCGTAGATGAAAATAATTGAAATTTACTAAATTCATTTATGGCGAATAGAAATCAAATCTAAGTAAAATAAATGAGGTAAATTTTTTGGAAATATTGGGTTTAAGTAACTCAAAATTAGTTAGACTTAGAAGCAATAGGAGTCGGACGAGTGCTTGTCAAGTTCCAGGAACAGTGAGACCCGGGCGGTGGGCCCGTGCTTACAAACACTAGGCCGAGTATTTGTTGTAACACCTTTATAAACAAGAAATTTGAACCGATGGATCATGATTTTGAATCGAAATCGAATGTATTTCTAGTTTTCAGCTCGAACCAGTGTTTGCGTATATAGTATATGTTACACAAAGTGTGTTTTGAATTACAACGGGAACCTATGAACTGACTGAAGTGTTCAGTTCGTACAAGATGAACTAAAACAAAATAAAAAATTACAACTCAAATGCGGACAGATTGAAAGCCGAGGCGATTGAAATCTTTCCGCAAGACAAATATGCCCCGTATAGTGCTGACGGGTCTGTGCGTAATGTCCCCAAAGATACAACGGCAATACACTCAGAAGCTGTAGCACACCAGACTTCAGAGTTCCCCCGAACGGATTCGAAGACGAGAACTGAGCACTATGATATGATGCGTGAGGCTTTGAGAGTATTCATATTGCATGAAAATGTTGTGTGTTTTTGTATCTCATTCAGTCTCTACAATGTCCTATTTATAGGACTTCCACCTAGGTGGGGGATGGCTCTTCATTTTGTAACCACTAAGCCATTAAAGGCCATTCATGGCTAGTTTTGATGACTATTCAAAACTTGTTTCCACCAAGCTATTAACAACCATTCATGGCTCCATTAACAACCATTCATGGTTTGTAACCACCAAGCCATTAACATCCATTCATGACTTGGTTTTAATTGCAAAACGTTTCAGGTTTAACTCACCATTAATTCACCTCATAACTCTTGAAACTGTTACGTGGTTGAAAGGTCACACGTCCAGGTTCAATGTACCTAGAACGATGTTACACGGGTTGTGTCGAAACCCAAGTCCAAAACCAACTCGGTTTATATACCAACATATGGTAGATAACTTTGTTATTGTTTGTGACCTCTCCAACTCTCTTTATCATAATAAAGAGAGTTAATCTCATTCAAGAGTTCTCTGTGGGATAAGACTTTTAACCATTCGAATCCCACAACCAACGTTCTGCGTGCCCATTTAAGGCTAACATTTGATTTCTCAATACTGATTTCCCGAAAATCAGTATTGAGAAATCAAATATACTACGAGTTTCTAATCAGAACGTAGAATTTATTCTACACAATTTAATTCAATCCGAATTAAATATTTAGCCATCAACAAATCAGTTAAAATCAGGTCATACCCAATTTTATATTATTGATTTTCCAACAATCCCCCACATGAGTGGAAATCAAATGTATGCCTGTATGCAGACTCTTGTGCTCAATCCTCACAAGACCCTATTGCATCAGAAAAGGTGGCTTGTGGCTTTGAACCTTTCTTAGTAAACATCATCGGATGTACTGGCGGCTTAGTGGACATAGTGCCTTGAACTATTCCTCCATAGTGTACACCAAGACAATGACATTCACACAATAGAGCCTTAACTCCATTCCGTTCTATTGTTGTGTCCGTTTTGGCCATGGACAACACTTTGGATTCATAAGTGTTTACAATTGAAGCGGCCCTCACTTCACACTTATATAGGTGACCTCCCTGTCAAGAGTATCTTTTATTACTCCATCTTTAAAAGGTTAGAGATTCATTAAAAGTCCAGATGACTTACCCTCACCACAATCAACAGCTAATCTTGCACTTGGATTGCTTTTAGGGAATGATTTGGACATTCTAATGTTCCAAGTGCTCCGCTGAATTTTCATAGTTTAGTTTTCCCCTTGAACCAAGTTTATGGGATCTCCATTCAGCAAGGTAGGGTTCCCACTATGATCATTCTTTTCATTGTGGATTTTTAATCTCATTCCCTCTAGCAGTATTCCCAATTGATCTCTATTCAATCCTTTAGTAAAAGGATCAGCCAAATTTTCCTTGTACTTTACGTAGTCAATAGAAATAATACCATTTGTGATCAATTGGCGAACGGTATTATGTCTACGACGAATATGTCTAGACTTACCATTGTACGTGTTACTTTGCGCCCTTCCTATAGCAGCTTGGCTATCACCGTGAATCATCACAGGCGACAAAGGTTTATTCCAACATGGAATATCGGATAAAAAGATTCGAAGCCACTCGGCTTTTTCACCAGCTTTATCTAAAGCGATGAACTCCGACTCCATGGTTGACCGAGCTATACATGTTTGTTTTGTGGACTTCCACGAAACAGCTCCTCCTTCGATACAGAAGACATATCCACTTGTGGAGTGAGAATCTCTCGAATCCGATATCTAGCTTGCATCACAATATCCTTCAAGTACTTCTGGATATCTCGAGTATTTTAGCCCGTATCCAAGGGTGTACTTTAAGTACTTCAGTACCCTTTTCAAAGCATTCCAGTGCTCATGACTGGGATTGCTCGTAAATCTACTCAACTTATTCACCGGATAGGCCAAGTCTGGTCGTGTACAATTCGTCAAGTACATTAGACTCCCTATTATCCGTGAATATTCCAATTGAGCAACTGGTTGACCTTTATTGGCTTCCAGATTTATGCTAAGATCAAGGGGTGTCCTAGACAAAGGACCTTCATAGGCATTAAATTTCTTGAGCACTTTCTCTACGTAATGAGATTGTGACAAGAATGCCGTTTTGACATCCATTTGATGAATCTCAAGATTGTGCAAAGCAGCAATCGAGAGAAGCACTCTAATTGACGCTATACGTGTTACAGGTGAATAGGTATCAAAGAAGTCATACCCTTCTTTTTGTTTAAAGCCTTTGACCACTAATCTTTCTTTAAACTTATCAATCGTTCCATCAGATTTGTATTTTCTTTTTAGGATCCACTTGCATCCTAAAGATTTACAACCCGCAGGGAGATCAACCAACTCCCAAGTATGATTTTGCATAATGGACTCGATTTCGCTATTTATAGCTTCTTCCCAGAGTGGTCCATCTGGGCTAGACAGAGCTTCCTTAA